TGTGTATAGGGGAGGTGCACGTCCGAGGATGGGGTGTGGCTGGGAGGGGGAGGCAGTTTGTGTGAGTAGGTGAGTGCGCGGGGGGAGGGGTTGAGGGTGTGACGTGTGGGCAGACGTTCTGCATTAGAGTACTGGCTGGGCTGTGGCCTCCTTTGATCCCCTCAGGGAATGGCTGCGAAAGGGCAGGCGCAGCCAGAAAGGCCATCGCCTGCGGTTGCCAGGCGGGCTGGTTGTGGTGGGCGAGTTCAGCTTGCAGCATTCGCGCATGCAGCAGGCTGCGGTGCCGTCCTTGGCTCTCTACTAGAGCTGCATCGCGGCAGGTGCCAGTCCCTCAGGGCAAGCTGATGCGTGGATGCAGAGGAGTGATTTCTACCGAGCCCTTTTCCACTCACACCCAGCTCTGGCTTGACCAAGGTGCAGCTGGAGGTGACTGCTCAGCTCTAGTTTGCCCTGGCAGGTCCGGAATAGCCCATGACGGGGCCGAGGCCAATGTCCCCGTCTCCCGGCCTGGTGCAGAGGGGAGTCCTGGGGGTGGGGAGGCGGGTGTTGGAGAGCGATCCTGCTCTGCATTAACCCTGTGGTGGTGGATGCTTTCCTGCGGGGTGGTCCTGGTCCCCTAGGATTACCATATGTCCGGCTTTTTGGGCCTCAAATCCCCGTCCGGGGGGAAATCCCAAAAAGCCGAACATGTCCGGGGAAAATAGGGAGGGGCCGGCGCCGCTGGGTGCTGGGCCGGGGGCTGGGCCGGGCCGGGCCGGGCCCGGGGGTGCTGGGCTGGGGGTGCTCGGCCCGGAGCTGGCCCGGGGCCGGCACCCCAGGAGCCGAGCCAGGCTGGAGACGCTGGGGCCGGGGCCGGCCACTGGAGGGAGCTGCTCGGTTGCGGGGGCCAGACTGGGCCACGCCTCCTCCCCCCGCCAGCTTGCCTGCTTCAGGCTTCCCGCGAATCAAATGTTCGCGGGAAGCAGGGGAGGGGGTGGAGTTGGGGCGGTGGCCCCGTGGAGTGTCCTCTTTTTGGACACTCAAAATATGGTAACCCTATGGTCCCCCCACTGTGGTTGTTGCGACCTGGCGCACGGTATCACAGCAACACTCAGGGTGGCCAGGCCCCCTCTCCGCCATGCCATTAATCTGGCCCGGGCCCGGTGTGTGGAGTCCCAGGGAAGAGCCCCAACCCACCATGTGGCCCTGGAGAAGCACTAGGAGCCTTGGATTCCTTGGCGGTTGGGGAAGAGCTCGGTTGCACTCCATTCTTTCCAAGCACGTGGGCTATTGAAAATCAGCAAGGGACAGGGCTGTGGGGGGGATGCACACGTGAACACTGGCTGCACACAGACACCACAGTCAGCTGCCAGCTTCAGATATGCAGCTTGTGATGTCCTCTTCTCTAGGGTGGCAATTCCCCCCTGGGCTGAGGACTGGCCCGAGGCTCACGTGCCTGTAGCCCTCAAATCACGTTGGAGTGGCACTGACGTGATGCATAGGCACAGTGCTGGCTCTCTGCCCCGGGTGCGTTGGGCCCTAGCAGAGAAGAGGACGAGATCTTCTCTGTCCGCGTCCCAGACTGATGATAGCAGCTCCTGCCCTGACTTTAATTATCTCATGCTTTGTCAACAATAGTTCTTAGGAAACAGTTCAGACGTGTTTTCTCCTGTGTAATTTTGATCTCTGGCATGCCACACTTGTCAGACACCTAGTTAGCAATTGGAGCAGGTTGGCCAGTGGGAATGGTGTCATCTCTTTAACACAGTTGAGAGTTTAGTGCAGGGAGGGAAAACCATTGGCATTTCTTGCCCTGATACTTCTGTTGAATGTGTGAAACCTGACATAATTGAGAGCTCAATTTATGACAAAAAATGAGGTTCCCAGTTTTATCTGCTTTTATCTCACCAGAAAAATCAACCAAATCGGAATCGACCAAATCCATTGTTCTTTGTTGTGTAACTAATTCACTGTATCTCGTCACATTCCACTGTAACACATGATGGCAAAAACGCTCCGATCACAGAGCAGTTATTGTCAATTTGGGAGATTACACTTCACAGTGAAGAGTTTTTTGTATGAGGAACGAAAAAGGCCGTCTTTCTCCATGGGCACGGTCTTTCTCCCTGCTTGTGCCACGGGAGCCCGTTTGACTCTGCTCCAGCCTCTCTTCACGCCTACACTTGAGAGACCTGTCAGCAGTTCATTTAAAGTTTGGAAGCTGAGTAAACCATGACCCTAAAACCGGTGTGAACCCCATGTCTGGTTTTTGTGGATATGAGGCAAGCCCTTAAAAATTGCATTTGAATAGCACCAAACCCTTCAGAAAATCGACGGGACTCTGCCATTTCTTTTTTGGAGGTTAATATGGGACAGGCAAATTCCAAATCTGTTGTGGTGAGATGGGTCACAGCTGTGAGGAAACATTATTTCAAGCAAGGTGAATAAATCCTTTAACTGCTTGCCGGTTGCATAACAGAAGACTGTGGCAAATTGGATTTGTGTGCAAACAGGCTTCGTATCTTCCCAGGCTAATGGTGCTTCATCACAGCAATTGACTGACTTCTTAAATTAGGGAGAATTCAGTTCAAGACCCAGCCACCTCACTGCACATTGTGTGAGTAGAGCATGACCAATAGTGCCAATGAGAATGGGAAGCGCTGATTCTGCTGTGGCCCACACAGTGCAGAGAGGAGGAGGCAACTATTCGCTGGTTGGAGAGGATGGGCTCATTCCATCCTTCCCCCAAAGCTTTGACACTGAGCCTTGAGGGGGAGGGATAGCTCAGTGGTTTGAGCATTGGCCTGCTAAACCCAGGGTTGTGAGTTCAGTCCTTGAGGGGGCCACTTAGGGATCTCGGACAAAATCAGTACTTGGTCCTGCTGGACTCGATGACCTTTCAGGGTCCCTTCCAGTTCTATGAGATAGGTATATCTCCATATATTATTATTAGTGAGAAACAACTCGATTAAACCCAGAAGTTTGTAGTGGGTGCAGCGGCTGTGTTGGCCCTGGTTTAAGAAATTAGCAAGCCACTGTGATTAAGCACAGGCTCTGATTCACTTACCCTGGGAATGCATCTCTGCAGGAGAATCCCAATAGGATTCCTTGGACTTGATTCCCGGCCAATTGAAATGGGAGCTGCCTTTGGTTGTCTCTGCCTGCAATTCACACTGTGAACCTTTCCCACCAGCCAGTGAGCTAACAGGCGATCTGCCATTATCAAGTGGCAACGGACTCTGATAACACACTCTCCCGCAAGCTACCCATGATGTATTGCATTGTTTGCTGGTGGTGATTGCTGGTGTGTCTCTTACAGGGGGTGATTGCAGATCTGAAAGTGACAGGTGATCGCCAGGCAGCTGACCTCCAGTGTGAGGAGCAGGACGAGGATAGCGATGTGGTGAGTGCTGTCTGCCATGGCTCGGTATTGTAGCTGTGGTTTGCTTACACAGAGGGGTGGAGAACTTACCTTGGTTCCAGCTGTTAGCAGATCGCTTGCTGGAAGTTAATATGCAATTTACCACACAGGATCACCCATCCCAAATGTCCAAAAATCATGAGCCTGACCCCAACAAATCATGAGATTGGACCAAAAATCATGAGCTTTAAAAATATATAGATTATATTGTGTGGTTTTGGTCTGCTCTTCGATGTGTGAAGTCTCTCTTCCCTGCACCTGCCCCAGGCTCCTGCCATACCAGATACAACCGCTGTTGTGAAATAGCAACCCCCAAGGTGGGTGGGGAGAGCGGGCAGTGCAGTGTCCTCACGCCCAGACAGGAACTCCCATGGGCACTCACCCTTCTCTCTTCATCACCCCCCATTCCCTTAACAGGTCAGACGGTTGCACAGGAGATCTGCCCTATCCCAGTGCTTGATGGCTGGGGGGTTGTCCAGGAATTTCATGGAAGACTAGACCCCAGGTGGTAGTATCGCCTCCTGCCGTTGCTAATGGGCGTGTCTTCTCCAGCTGCTCCCTGGGCACTGAGGTTTGCCACGGGGGAGGAAACAGGCTAACCGCTACTAGTGTCAAGTGACCATTGTGAATGTTCGTTCCTAGCCAAAGCCCCCTCTGTGCACTGAACCAGGGTGAAATCCTGGCCCCAGTGAATTTATTTGCAAAACTCCCATTGACTTCTACGGAGTCAGGATTTCCCCTTTTGGTTTTTTTATTGAGTCATGTTAGCGAACAGCCTGTGCCGCTGGTGGGACCGGCTGATTCTTTGGGCTTATAAGTCCTTGTTAGAATCAGTGTGAGACCCAAAGTGAACCCCAAGACAGGCGGAAATGTGAATCCCCTTCTCAGCAACCAGGAGAAGGATCTCATTGCTAGGTGATCACTTTCCACCAGGAGAATGCGGGGCCTGGGTTTTATTTCCTGTGGGAAGGGGGCATAGCCGCCAGTGCTGTCGAGTACCCTGATCAGAACACTCATATATGCTGGATATGTTGTCTGCTGACTGTGTCTCCCTCTCTCTGTCTCCCCCCTCCTTTGGAATGATGTAGGCATCTGGAGATTTTGGAAGTGGAGTTGAAGAAAGGCCCCACCTATCAGGAAGGGAACGGGTGAGTCTGAGGCCGTGGGCCCAAGGGCATTCCTTTCCAGCTTGGCTTTGCTTTTCTCTTCCAGGTACAGGCCCCATCAAACATGGCTAAACACTACTGCTGCAGTGGGCAGCAGAGAGCAGGCGGGAGTTGGCAGTCATTCTGCCAATAGACGGTTGGTCTTCCTAGGTTAAGACGAGTGGTGATTTGGAGTCTTGATTTCTCCCTTTCCAGTCAGCCCAGAGGTGCAGGAAGTAAGCGCCTTGTTGACATAAACTTATATTTTCTGTGATGTGCTCCTGGCCATAGACTTTATCCTGTGTCTGGTTCTCTCCCCCCACCCCCGATCTCGTGCCATCAGTGAAACCATTGGGAAAGGTGCGAATAGCACAGTGCTTTACCCTGGATCATGCCAGCTGTCCTGACCACGTCTCCCTGATGCACTGAGCCACGGAGAAGTTCCGTGCCTGTAAGTCAGGTTGTATCACACATTTTAACTAGTGGATCTGGAACAAAAGCCAACGGGGAATCTGAAAACTGGCTGAGAATCTGAAGAGACTGGTAACTGGATTAGAGCTTTCCTTTGAACCAGGCTCCTGAAGGCTTGCAGTGTAAACTCCCTGGGCTAGGAATTGGCTCTCTATTCAGGCTAGTGTCTAATCTCTCCCCTGTGTGTTACCTACTGCTATATGGCTGCAATAGAAAGCCCACACCTGCTGCTGTTCTTGCCCCGAGCCAGGGGTCCCTCCAGACGAGCATCCCGGAAGCAGGCTGTGTTAGGAGTTTGTACAGATTGCAAAAACACACACATGCTCTTAGCAGCCATCGGCCTGATCCGCGGGGTTGTAATGGGAAAGCATCTGTAACGTAGTACAGTTTCTGTACTACCTGCTCAGGAAAGTAGGGGGCACAACTGTCTTATCTGGCTGCCATGGCATCATGATTCAGCCCTGAATTACCCTAAAGCCCATTACGCCTTGAAATTTCAGCTATCAAGACCAGCTTTCATTCCGGTTCCAAGAGTCCAAAGAATTATTAAGCCTCCTCTTTCCTCCGGATGTGCATTAGCACCTGGAAACTTGCCTTTTTACCATCACGAGTTCAGATTTCAATCCAAACAGTGTGTCTGGGTTCTGAAGGATGGTTTGGAGGGCAGGGGGGGACGATGCAGTGCGCTAATGCTTTGGAGCAGCCGAGGAGGGTGGATTTGAAAAGGACTTGGCGTTTCCTGCTCGTGGTGTGTTTGTTTGCAGTACTCGCGTTCGTCTGTAACTCTGGCCCCAGTGCCGCAGCTCTGTGCCGACTCTCTCCACCAGCGGCTCTGCTCTGAAAAGTGACTCAGTACGAATGGCACCAAGACAATCTGCTCTCTTAGTGTGTTCAGAGTCATGTGTGCCAACCTACCGAACCCTGCTGTTTGCATCCCCGCTCACCCTGCAGAGACAGCACAGCCGTGGGAGTTACAGAGCAGATTGGGTGTCGTCTTGTGCTGCCAAAGAATTGTTTACGTTCCAATCAGTTAAAGCTGTGCAAAGCTGCTGCCGTTCCACAGCATCGGATATCAGTGAAAGCTTGATTTGAGGTCAGCTGGGCTGCATGGCTTTCACTAAGGGCCTGACCTGGCCCACCGTTGCTTTACTACCAGTGGTGATGCCTGGCTTGCGTGTCCCAGCTCCAGGTGGTTTGCAAGGGGCTTTGCTTGGCTGAACCTCCCTTTCCCAGTGTCCTTCCTGCAGGATCTGCCTAAAGGAAGTGAAAATATGATGACTGGAATGGGCGAAGTGTTACATTGGTGTGGCTCCTAGCGGCTGAGGACAGTGAGGACTTAGGCTGTGACACGGTGGCTGGCTTAGGTACCTCAGCAGGATTGGTTATGCTGAGGTTGGCTGGCGCACCAGGCATGCCTCACTCTGGGGAATGTTAGCTGGATGCTGGCATACGGTAACACTCACCCGTGGACACCATTGTTCCAAGGAGGCCATCGCTGCTTCCCTGTAGAGCAGTGGTAGTGCTGGCGTTTTAAATGCTGTATTTCCCCCCCACCCCTCTCCCGGTTGACAGCTGGCCTTCCCCCCAGCGTACGTCCAAACAGCAGCACACCGTGGTGCAGCTAGAGGTCAGTTCCCGCCGATGACCGCGCTCTCGAGGGTACCATGTTTCTGAGGAAAGGGTCGTGAGCGAGAAACTTCCCTCTCACTGAGATCCCTCCCTGCCCAGGGGACAGTGCGCTCAGCTGGGAGCCAGAAGACCTGAGTTCTGCTCTGACATCTCTCGACTGGTGTTTGTGTATCTGCACGTGAGAGCCCTTAGCGCTCAGCTGTGCGTGGAGCCTGGCCTAGAAGGCCGCAGGTGGTGGTATCCCCCATTGTACATGTAAGCCAACTGAGAGGTTGGACAAGTAAACCAGGGGTTAGGAGCTGGTATTACCTCTGTATAGTGCGTTGGTGAAACCATCACTGGAATCCCAGTTTGGTCTCCACACGTCAGAAGGGACATTGGAGAGAGGTCAGAAGAGAGCTACAGGAATGATTCAAGGTCTGGAAAACCTGCCTAATGGTGAGATCCTGACGGAGCTCGATCTGTTTAGTTTATCCAAGAGAAGTGAAGCGGCGACTTGCTGGTGGTTTGTACGTAACCACGTGGGGAGGAGATTTGTGATGGCTGGCGGCTCTTTAGCAGACAGAGAGAAAACCCTATCCAGGGGCTGGGAGCTGAAACTGGACAGAAATCAGAGACCCATTTTGGGAGTGAGGGAGCTTCACCTGGGCAGCTTTCCCAGGGTTCTCCATCTCTGGGCTCTTTAAATCAAGGCTAGATGTCGTTCTAAGAGACCTGGTCTAGCTTAGCCACCACTTACTGTGCGGGAGTCGCTGGGCGAGAGTCTTCAGTCTGTGTTCTGCAGGTCAGACTAGATGATCATCGTGGTCTCTTCTGGCCTTGCTTCTGTGACATGCACCCTGTGCGGAGAGGGGCAGGGAGAAGCCAGGTGTGCCCCGTGTCAAATGCAGGAGAAAAGGCAGGATATTTTCCCTCCACTGGAAGTTTATTTGAGGGGTGGGCCACAAAACAGAAACATTTCTGCAAGCCAAAGGTAGCCGACAGCACTCCCCGGGAGACAGGGCAGACGTGCTGTTGCCTTACATTTGAACACGGAATGCCGACGCCATCCAGTGACTGGACAGGAGTAATGGCTAGAAGTATTTCTCCTGGGCTCTCTTCCAATCCAGCGCCGTACATAGCACCGTTCTGAATTCCCTTATACACACCAGACCCGATCCTGCAGTCCTTCCTCAGGCAAAACGCCCAGGGTGCTTCGCTGGCACTTTGCTGGAATAAGGACAGCTGCTTCGGGCCCACCAGCAGCAGCATTTGGTACAAAGTTCAGGGGGAAACCGGGGCTGTTGGCTCATCAGGACACTCAGAGCTTTCTCCTGTCTTTAGTGCACTGTGCATATACATTTCTGGGGCCAGAATGAGTGTCTTCATGGGTCCCCTTTTAGTGACAAATGTTGCCATCTCCTCCTTTTTGTTTCTGGGTGGTTAACTCTGGGTTTTAAAACCTTCTTTACAACGCAGTGTTGCTTTGCAGCACTAATACAAATACTAACGTGGGCTGTGGATTCTCCATCCCTGGCAATGTTTAAATCGGGGTTGGGTGTTTGCCTACAAGACCTGCTCTAGTACAAACAGGAGTTAATTCAGAGCAGTCCTATGGCCTGGGCGATACAGGCGGTCAGACTAGATGATCACAATGGTCCCTTCTGGCCTTGGGATATCTGATTCGGTAACTCCCCATTACTCTTTGTAACCACCTCCAGTGAGCAATGAAACAAGTGCTTGTTGTGCCGCTGCCCAGCCTGGAATGTCGACGGGCCTCACCAAATGCATAGGGGTTTTGTTCTCAATTATTCAAGTTTCTTCCTCTCTCTGGTCTTGCGCAGGGGACCCCGGCTGTGTCGCGGCTCCCGGAACCTCCCCCGGTCACTTCTCCCCCCACCGCTGGGGAGACAGTAGAGAAAATAAGCGTGGACTCTCAGCTGCAAACTGAGCAAACCAAAGTGGAAGGACCACAGCAAATTTCTACAGGAGGTAAAACTAGCATTTGCCCCTTTGCCACCCAGCCTGCAGAGATGTTAAGCAAGGGCGACATCCGCAAATGACCTGGAGCGGGTAGAAACTAGAAATGCCTCAAACTTGATCAGCTGGCTAGAGATAGGCGAGTGGAGCCACCTTTTCCTGTGGCGTCTCCGAAGCAGGGGTCCTCTGGGGGTCCTCTGTGGGGCATGTGTTCGACATGCCAGTAGCTAGATCCATGCAAAGTGGTGGGGCTGGCTGAAGCTGTGAGCTCCCTCCATGTCTCCATCTGGTTGTTCAGGGGGGCACGAGAGCAGGTCCGGGGGGGCTGTCCTACCCAGCACCTCTCAGATACATTAGGCTGAGCCTTCTGGGAGGGACTTCTCGCATGGCCTGCCTGCCTTCTCTGTTGTTCTGCTACCAGCAGAGGTGGGGCTGACGCAGGGATCTTAGCTTCCCCCTCTGTGGGAGTCTGTGGGGAAGCCCTAACTTTGCGCTTGTGACATCACATGTGGCGTTTCTTCCGTTTCGCTTTCTGAGGCCCACATCTTTGAACACATAGGAGCCATTGACAGTTGGTGAAATTGTGCCTAACTCCCTTTGGAAAATGGGACCTAGGCTCCTAAATCAGTTAGGCCCAGATTTGGAAGGCTGTTTAGTTGTTGCTGTGCGCAGCATTGCAAGGCCTAAGTCCTTTGTCTAGAAAGATGGAGAGCTGAACAGCCCGGGGAAGGGGGTCCCCCACCAGAACTCCCTGGCTGTTCTGCCATCAGGCACTGGGGGCAGCAGCTAGCATATGCGCTGACTTCATGGGTGCTCTGGGGCTGGAGCACCCACAGAGAAAAATAGTGGGTGCTTAGTACCCACCAGCAGCCCCCTTATCAGTGCCTCTCACCTGCCGCGGGCATGCAGGAGGTGCGGGGAGGGAGCTGAGCGAGGGCAGGGCATGCTCAGGGGAGGAGGCGGAACAGGGCGGGATGGGGGCTTGCGGGAAGAGGTGGAGTGGGGGTGGGGTCTGGGGCAAAGCGGTGGTCAAGCATGCTCCAGGAAAGGACAAAGTCAGCGCCTGTGGGGAAGTGTCAGAGAGTCCCAGATTGCCCAGCCCGCACACCCAGGTGTCCTCAGCACAACTCGCTGTGTGTGGTGTGGCTGTCTCACACCGCAGCCCCGCCCGAGCAGAGCGGTCAGCGCTGTCCAGCAGGGCCCTGCGTCCTCGCCTGTAACTGCACGTGGCTCTTCATTCCAGCCACGGTTGGTTCAAAAGGTGAAAAAGGGGCCCCGGGAGAGAAAGGTGAACGTGGCCCAAAAGGGGACTCCGGAACCGGCGGGGTTCTAGCAGCCGGCGGCACCAAAGGCGACAAGGTCAGTGACGATACGTAGTGCTTCTCTAGCAGCTTCATCCATGGGCTCCGAAGCACATTGCAAACCGCCCCTCACCACAGCTCCTGTCCGCAGACACACCAGCGCACTCACCCCTTCCTCCTGTCTCAGTGGAGAGTCCCTGGAGCCCCTGGCCTGCCGAGCACCCCTCGTGTGCAGTGCAGCAGTGGGGCTCAGCGGGGAACAGAGCAGAGAGCCGGTCATGTCCGTATCCAGTCCCTGGCTGTGCCGCAGACTGGGCGCCGCTGGCGAGGATCGGGGAGTGAGGGAAAGGGAGATGACAGTAAGGAAGAGCCAAGGAAGAAGGCTATGACCTGGGACAAAGAGCGAAGGCGTGCGGGGAGGGGCTTGTCAGGCACAGCTGAGCCGTTCCCCCTCCTGCAGCTAGTGATGGTGTGAGGCGCTCCACACCATCCGCCCATGCCAGGGCCTCAGTCTGTGCCAGAGCAGGCCGCAGTCCCGCCCTGCTTCTGTGCTGACTGCAGGCCAGCTCCCCCCGCTCCCCGTGAGAGGCTCTCCTCTCGAGCAGAGCAGCCCAGCCCTGCAAACACTCGCTCTGGGCAAATCCCAGCGGCTCCCACGAGCGCGTCCCCCGTGTTTAGGGAAGCAGTGTGTGCGCAGAGTCTGTCCCATGCGTTGCCAGATGAGCATGAGGAGAGCAGCTCTGCCTGGTGCCGACAGCCTCCAGCACCCACTGATGTCAGCAGGGTGGCCGGAGCACTCCCCACCAGGCTGGATCAAGCCCCTGGCGAAAGACTCCTTGGCGGCAGCTGTGCGCGTGGGGGCTGAGCCGAAGTTCCTACCTCTCCTAGGGGTGGTAATGTCCAGGCTCCAGCAGACTGAACTCCCCTGTACAGTGCTGCTCCGTGGAGCCGCACTGGGAAGCACCTGGTTCGGCTCTAGCAGTGTGTGCGCTGAGTGTGCTGTCAGGGGAGCACGCGCCATGACTTGCCAGGGGCAAACGAGCACGGCTGTCAGATGCAATGATGTTTTGCTCTTTTATTCTGCAGGGAGAAAAAGGAGACCTGGGCGTTAAGGTGAGCACGGTGACCACGGGGTGTTGTATAGAAGGGGGGGTTACAGGCAGGATGTCCATGAGCTGTACTCTCCCTGGCTGGCCTTCTCGCTGGGTGTCGGCCCAGGCCCGTGGCATGGCCTTCGGCTGTGCTGCCCATGTGTCGCCGAGAGGCACTGTTCCCTAGCTGCGGGGACTGACTAGACAAGTCTTGTTTCTTGTGGGGCCTGGGGGTGTGTGGTGCTGGCTTCCCGGACTCAGCGTGTCAGGAAGCCAGGCCCAGGTTCGCACAGGAATCCACTGGCTCTAGTTTGCTTGGCTGGTGCCAGTGCTGAGTCGGACCCTCGGAGGCAATCGCCCAGGACCAAATCCCAGGGGCCTTGCTCAGTTCTCATGCATCCCTCACTCTCCTGGCCTGGCATCTTCGCCTCCCACAAATGTGCGTGTTGCGCGAGTCCCTGTGAGACCGGCTGGCAGGCAGCCCAGGCCACGGCGGGAGAGGGAGCATACACTGATGGCCGCTCGGGTGCGACAGGACCTGGGAGAGGAAAGCTGGGAGTGACACCAGAGCCAGGCAGAGCACCTGTCTTTCCACAGCGGGTATCTGGCATGCTGCTGTCTCACAACAGACACACTACCCAAGCTCAGAGCTCATAACCCTCCCCGGGCATTCAGGAGCAGACGATCGCTGTCTGCTGCACTGGAATTGCTGGCTTGGCGTGGCCCGTGGCAGTATCCGACACCATGGTGGTGGTGGTGGGCATTGTCTCAGTAACAGGACCTGCTATGTACCAGGCCCCTTCCTGGCATGTCCTACTCCAAGGAGCCCTCAGGCCAAGAACAGAGGCTGGGGCAGGGAAATCAGCCAGTTCAGCCTCTGTGTGGAAGGTGGTGGAGGGCGGGCTGGGAGCACTGGACTCCACTGTTATCGGCTGCATGTCCCAGGCTCATGTGTGCGCAGCCAGAGCCAAGCCAGGGAATCCCAGAGGCGAGTCGTTCCTTCTCCATGTGGGACTGGCTGAGGGAACTAGGTGGGCATTTTGTATCGCCCCTTGGGCCCACGCTGGCCCCAGCCAGCTCTGCGAGGCCAAAGCCTGGCATTTCCAGGGCACAGCATCAGTGCAGAGCGAGGGAGCAGGGAACCCTGGTGATCCCGGCCGAAGGCAGTGCCCAGGCCAGGCCGGGGAGTGCAACTGGTGGCTCATGGTTTCCCCTTTCATCCCCAGGGAAGTGCAGGATTTGGGTATCCCGGCTCTAAGGGCCAGAAAGGGGAGCCAGGTGCCCAGGGATCTCCCGGACCCGCTGGCCCGCCTGGGCCCCCTGGCTCTACAGTGCAGCGCCTGGACGGCTCTGTGGTGGAGCAGGTCACCGGGCCTCCAGGATCAACAGGTCCCCCAGGGCCGCCCGGGGAAGATGGCCTCCCTGGCAAGGACGGCGAGCCTGTGAGTAAACCCTCAACCCAAGCAAGCTCGGGGAGCAGGCTGGGGGCTGCTGGGCTCTCTCTGGGATGGGGGGCAGCAAATGCCCTCCTGCCCCAGGAGATGCCAGCGGAGTGCTATCGGGGCCTTGCTATGCTGGCTGCAGAGAGCTCCCTCTGTCCAGCTAGGGCCCTGTCACGCTCCTCGCCAGCCCTCTCCACACACCCTGTCCCTTTGCATCCTATGCAGGCTATGGGCTGGGTCCCGCTGCATTGCATCTGTCCCCTACTGCCCCAAGGCTCTGCTGCCCAGGACCCTGCCTTCCCCCCACTGCCACCTGCTCTGTCCTTCACTCTGTCCCCATCTCCTCTCCCTCTCCACCAGTCCCACCTGAATGAAATTAGAAAGCTCCCCTTTCTCCTTACCACTCCGTGTCCACCGGCTGCCCCCTGCCTCTGCCTGTCTCCTTGCTGCCCTTTCTTGCCTTCCTCCTTGCTCCAGGCCAGCACTTCCCACCACCCCAGTTTCCTGTGTGCCAGCACAGGCCCAGCCACTCTTGGCTGTTTGGTCCTGGAGCGGGGGGTGATCGCGGGGTGCTCATCCTCCCTCCCAGATGTGCTGTGGGGAGAAAAGGGGCTTTGGCACATTCTGAACTGGAGGGAGGCTGCCGAGCCGGAGCAAATGCGGCAGTAGTCACAGACGCCCGGCAGAGTAGGCCAATGCCAGCACCTGGCTGGTGCTGCTGAAATCCTACCAAAGCCCCCAGGGTGCTGGGTGAGGGAGAATGGGGAGTACTCCGAGGAGCCAGGGGCAGTGCAGCCGGCAATGCATCCCCCAGGGCGTGCCTAGGCGGTGAATATCTGTCTCGTTAACACCTCTCCATCTCTGTTGACTCTAGGGTGATCCTGGTGAAGATGGGAAACCTGTAAGTGTCCCCGTTTGCTTCCCCCACGCCCTGCCAGTGTGCTGGTGTCAGCGTGTGCCACCTGCAGATACTCATGTGACTGGCCACCCGGGATTGGCTGACTCATTACCATATAGTGCATGCTTCCTAGTGCTCCATGCCAACGCACAGTCCCTCTCACGCGCTCCAGAACACGTCCGGCACCCCCAGCTGCATGCTTAGCTGCAGGCATAGCAGGGTGTTAAAGGAACACTGCTTAGACTGCACCTGCGAAAAAGGCTAGTGTTCTGGGGCGGATTCACAGGAGTGTCGTGTGTCAGACGTGGGGGGTAATGTCCCGGTCTGCTCGGCACTGGCAAGGCCTCAGCTGAAGTCCTGGGTCCAGGTCTGGGTGCCACGTGTCAGGAAAGCTGTGGGCAGATTGGAGAGAGACCAGAGCACAGCAACAAAAACGAGAAAAGGGTTGGAAAACCTGACCCGTGAGGAAAGCTTAAAGAACTGGGCATGTTCAGTCTTGAGAAGAGAAGACGGAGGGGGGGCCTGAGAACAGACTTCAAATACGTGAAGGGCTGTTACAAAAAGGACAGTGGTCAATGGTTCTCCAGGGCCACTGAAGGTAGGACAAAAAGTACTGGGCTGAATCTGCAGCAAGGGAGATAGAGCTAGAAAGTTTTTCCTAGTATCTAACTGAGGGTAGCTCAGCTCTGGACCAGGCTTGCAAGGGGGACTGTGGGATCCCCATCACTGGAGGTTTTGAAGAACAGGCGGGACAAACACCTGCATGGGATGATCTAGGAGATTTTCTTGGCCCTGTCTCAGCTCAGGGGGCTGGACTAGATGGCCTCTTGAGGTCCCTTCCAGCCCCGCATTGGTGACAGAGAACTGCCCCCAGTGTACCCCTGGGATGCAGTCAGCCCTTGGCTCTGGCTCCCCATCAGTCTCTTGGTTTCCCTTTGCAGGGTGACGTTGGGCCCCAGGGATTCCCTGGAACTCCCGGAGAGCCTGGCCTCAAGGGGCAGAAGGTGAGTTCCTGGCACACGGGCTGAGTGGCAGCATGGAGACAGGGTCTAACTGGTTCTCTCTGGCCCCAGGCAAGCCATCTCTGGAACTGCCCTGTTTTGTTTGGCTAATGTGCAGTGGAGTAACATAGAACCCATGTGTCACGGAGTATTGGGGGACTCAGGGCCCTGCACCCCCGGCTTCCTGCGATTCACCATGACTCTCAGCCAGCCAGTAAAGCAGAAGGTTTATTTGGATGACAGGAATACAGTCCAAGACAGGTCTTGCAGGCACAGACAACAGGGCCCCCCTCAGTTAGGTCCAGCTTGGGGTCCCATGGCATCCCAGCCCACCCCCCTTTGGGGGGTCAGAGCCATCTCTGCCTCCCAGCCATCTCTCCAGCCCGCTTCCAGCACTCTGCCTTCAGCGACCCCTCCCACCGCCTTTGTCCAGTTTCCCGGGCCAAGGTGTCACCTGGCCTCCAACCCCTTCCTGGGTTCTCATGTTACACGCTCAGGTATTCGCCTTCGGGCAGACTCCCATCCCCCAATGCAGACTATCCTAGCCACACTCCCCTGTCAGCATTCAAAGCCCACAGTAAGAACAGGCCCAGTTCGTCACACCATGTTACAACCTTTGTCGTCTCTTCTGTGTGCTTAGGGTGAGCCCGGAGTCGGCGCAAGAGGCCCCCCTGGACTGCCCGGACCGCCTGGGACACCAGGTCTCTCTTCCAAACAGGACAAGCTGGTACGTTCCTGGGGGCCTGTGGATGGCCCAGACCTGGCATGTGGCATTGGGTCCGAGGACCTGGCGCTGACCCTCCTGCTGAGGAGCAGAGAGATCCTGGCTCAGGCCATGGCACTGAGCAGCTGGCAGAGCTGCCACTTGCTGCCAAGTTAGTACGGCCGTAACACGGAGCAGCTCCACTCTGCAACGTGACGGGTGCTCACAGCTAGAGCTGGCCAGAGTTATCCCTATGCAACGCTTTATTGGGGGGAAATGCCGATCCCATGAAATCAAACCTTCCACCAGAACTTACCAGTTTCATCAATTTTCAGTGAAAAGTTGAGTTTATTCCTTTCAATGAGGTCAAAATCTTTTGTTTCAATCTTAGATAATAGAAACATTTTGCCTATTCTGTCATGTCATTGTCTAATAGGTCCTGTCATTTATTTTATTTTTAATTTTATTTTATACTATTTTGTTATACCGATTGCAGTAGGAAATTACCAGTTAGAATACCAGTTACAATAAGAGTGGAGTAAACAAAGGATCATTTACCAAACCAATTATTACCAGTTGGAATACCAATTCCAAAACCAATCACCAATTTATAAAATAAAAGTCTATTATATTGTCATTTATAATATAATATAAACGTCATGTCATGTCATGTCATGTTATATCATATAACAGTCAAAACGTTTCACTTTTATAATATATTACAAATGATTCTATACTCTAGCAGAAAAGTTGTCAATAAAGTTGAAATGAAACGTTTTGATTAAATGTCATGTCAGCTTTTCCTAAATGAAATTTTTGAATTGTGTTCCATGAGAGATTTTGAAATGTCGACAGATGCTGCGCTCCGTGCTGCTGGAGAAAGCAGGCCGGGTCCCGTACGCGCATGCTGCGCTCCGCGCGGCCGGAGAAAGCAGGCCGGGTCCCGTACGCGCATGCTGCGCTCCGCGCGGCCGGAGAAAGCAGGCCGGGTCCCGTACGCGCATGCTGCGCTCCGCGCGGCCGGAGAAAGCAGGCCGGGTCCCGTACGCGCATGCTGCGCTCCGCGCGGCCGGAGAAAGCAGGCCGGGTCCCGTACGCGCATGCTGCGCTCCGCGGCCGGAGAAAGCAGGCCGGGTCCCGTAGACAGATGCCATGCGCAGAGGCCAGCCCAAGGTCTGGGCACCTCCTCAGCCCCACTCAGGCTTTACTGTGAGTGGGTTCATGCAGCGCCTGAGCCTTGTGCTGTGGGGAGTGTCTGCCCTCTGTAGTCAGACTGCCCTGTTTTTTGTGGCTGGTGTGGATAGGAAACTGCTCTTCCCCACGTCCAGCCTGACTCCCTTGGCCTCTCCGGAGGCGCTTTCTGCTAGTTCAGGAGCAGGGGCCTGGCTGGGGGAGAGATCCAGGCCATTGAACCTTTCGCTCCCCAGCCCCACAGAAGTGGGCCGAGTCCCTGCTGGCAATGCGTGCTGGCTCCCCTGCTCCATGGAAACAAGGGAGTCACGTCTGTGCCCGTGTACTTCTCTTCCAGACGTTCATCGACATGGAAGGCTCTGGGTTTGGAGGCGATCTGGAAAGCTTCCGGGTGAGTGGTGAAGTGCAGGGAAGGGGGCTGCTACAGCTGTGTCTTTAAGGCGTCATTTGCTTGGCCCTGGTGTTGGGCAGCATTCTACAGACTGCCATGGCAAGTGGCAGCAGGCCTGGCCTGCCGAGGGACTCCCAGCCGGTGTCTGGAGATGGCATTTCAGGCGCACGAGAATGTGGGCCCATGTGTCGCCAAACATCCTTTACTCTTTTTCAGGGCCCCCGAGGCCCACCAGGGCCCCCCGGGCCTCCTGGGGTGCCTGGCCTGCCAGGAGAGCCAGGAAGATTTGGGATGAATAGCACTGAGCTGCCAGGACCCCCCGGCCTCCCCGGCCTGCCAGGCAGAGATGGTGTCCCCGGAGCCCAAGGCCCACCAGTAAGTGTGGCGGGGGGCGTGTGCTGGGAGTGGCGACGTGTTCTGGTGCTTGCCGGTGTTAAGGGCAGTGCCCCAACATTTCCCATGGCAGGGCCAGCGCCAGGGCCTTTGGGCCTGGCTCTGACCGGAGGTGCTTCTCGTTGGAATTTGGGATGTACGGACGCCTGGTGCACATGAACAGCAGCCATACTCAGGCTCTGCCTTTGGCTTGGGTGGTCAGAGGATGGAGGCTGGGGGGGAGATAGAGTGGATGGAGACACCCGAGGAAAAGTGAGTGACGCGCTAGGAGCATGGCTGGCAAGGAGCTCGGTGGGGGTGACGGCCCATCCCCAGGCTGGGGTGTGGCTGGCAAGGAGCCTGGTGGGGGTGACGGCCTGTCCCCGGGCTGGGGTGTGGCTGGCAAGGAGCCCGGTGGGGGTGATGGTCCGTCCCCAGGCTGGGGTGTGGCTGGCGAGGAGCCCGGTGGGAGTGACGGTCCGTCCCCAGGCTGGGGTGTGGCTGGCGAGTAGCCCGGTGGGGGTGACGGCCCGTCCCCGGGCTGGGGCGTGGCTGGCGAGAAGCCTGGCGGGGGGTGGCCATGTACTACTGAGGGCAGCTGGGCCTTTTCCTCTGACATGTAAAGAGTTAATGCAATAAACCAGCATGAAAATGCCAGTTCTGAAATGTTTCCTCCAACTGAGATTAACTCTAACTTTGCAGGGTCCTCCGGGTTCTCCAGGAAAAAGTGGGTTGGCCGGCCAGCCTGGGCTTCGAGGAGAACGGGTATGTGCCCCCTCTTCACGTGGCCTTGGCTAGAACCACAGAGTCTTTGCAGTAACTCGCTGGCTAGGGGCAGGCGAGAGCCTGGGGGTAGCTCTGTCCTGCCTGGAGTCAGAACAAGTACCCCTCTGCCTTGGGCAGTGAAAAGTATGGGATAGATCACACCTGCGGCAGGCCAGTGCATGCAGTCTGGGAGCTGACTGCTGCTGTGCGGGCTTGCTCTGTGTTTGTGCAGCACCTAGCACGAAGGGATCCAGGGCCATGCATGGGCTTCTAGGCACTAGAATAGTACACATCATACAGCATCATAAGAAATCCCAGTTCAGGAGCAAGCCCGGCCCAAAGCAGGGATCGGTGGCAAAGTGCTGGAGGGAACTTGCATGCTGCTGGTGTGCTGAGCGAATGGAAGGGGCAGGACAGGAGGCACAGCAGGAAATGCAGCTATCAGGGGGTGGAAAATAAAGCAGCCCACGCCCCACTCATACGCCCCCAGTTCAGTTGGCATCTGCCCTGCCCAGCACGCCCGCAGCTGATGGCAGCCTGGTGCTAGCCACTGTCTCGGGCTGCCATTGGTCCCCGCAAGCTGAGTTCCTGCCCACAGAGTGCAAACCTGCAGCTGTTAAGCCACTTTACCCCAGACCCCCGTTTCCGAGCCGGGTGCAGCAGGGTACCCCGGCACACAGTCACGGCTGATTCGGGACTATGGACGGTGCCGCTGCTCCCAACGTCCCCTCGTGGGCAGTGTGGGATATGCAGCCGCTGCGTGGAGCAGGTGTGAGGCAGCTGTGCAAGCCTGCTGCAGTCCTTCACGGCGTGCCACATCTTCACTGTCCTGGCTGGAGTCTCTGCACTCGCCACCCGCCCTGCAGGACCCTTTGTGCTCCACACACGCTGTGTACCAGGGAGCCAGCGCCCCCAGAAATCAGGGACCACACCTGGGTTAACTGTGGTAGCTTTCTTGGTGGGGGAAGCTGTTCTGGTCGCTCTTGCGGCTGTCCTGGGTCCCCAGGATCGGATCTTGTGTGGAGCTGTGGTAGCTCTAGCTGGTGGAAGCGTACCCAGACTTGTAGCTAAGGCCATGTGAGGTAATACTGTATCCCCAGCTGTGCGTTGAGAAAGGATTCCTAAGTAGTGTGTGACCAGGTAACCCACCACGACTTACAGGTTACACAGTCCCCCCAGCTGTCCTAGTGTGCCACTGGACCGGGCAGCTCCCCCTCTCCCTGGCCTGCCGCACTCTGTCTGACCATTCACTCTTCCTTCCCTTCTTGTTCCCAGGGGGACCCAGGAGACCTAGGCCTCCCCGGAGCTCCTGGACCCAAGGTACAGTAACCGCCCGTCCCCGGCTCTGAGATTACACTACCCTCTGCCTCTTGTAGTGCAGGTGACTCGGAAACCAGCACCCAGATTCCACTGGGGATCGATCTGCTCTCGTTCAGTTGCAGGCTGCACCCAGCCAGGGTGGGTGGAAGGGAGAGCTCGTGGCAGGCGTCACAGGCAGGCCTGTGACATGTGGCTAAGTTCAGGAAGAGATTGGGAAAACGTGACATGTGATGTGCTGCTCACATGTCTCCTGAGTGGTGGCCGGCAGCGTGGTACCGGGACACTGCCTGGGACCGGAGATCTTGTTGCCAGCTCTGTCACTGAATCAGTTTGTGATGTTAACCAGGTTTTAATAGTAGATAGGATAGCAATAGAAATCCAGAATCAAATCCAGGAGTTGATCCACATAAGAAGAGGTGTGCTGGCCAGCTAACTTACAGCAATTGCCATTCCTGAAACAACCATTCCCAGGTCGACTAGCAGTGCACCGAGGTTTTTGAATTGGGAATGAATACAGTGGAGCGGTACCTACAGTTAGGCCATTTACCCACGACCAATTTGGTGGCTCCTTCAGTCTCCTGATTGTGGGTCCCATTCCCTGCATGTTCCCCTCTGCCCACCACTGGGGTTATGTTCTGTCCCTCTCTTTCCTCTGTCCCGCTCTCCAGAGCGCACATGTAACTGATGATGATCATGTCATGATGATGTTACCTTCCCATCCCTGTCGCTGGGCTGGGTGAGGGCAGCACGTGCACACATGTTCCTCCTGAGGGTCTGTGGGCATCAACCACAAAACCACTCAACCCCACGGAAGCTCTGGGCCAAGACAGCAATTCCCCAAAGCCCTGGAGCATGCACTGGGTCCATTGTGACTCAGTCACAGCAGTGAGACACAGAGGCTTCACGATAAACGCGGGCCTGAGTGCTAGAAAGAATCGGGATCTAGATCTTTAGTTCTCCAGGACATGTCACCAGCTGTTGGGAGCGGGTGAGATGCATCGCTCTGCACAGGCTGGGCACAAGGCCTGGGCACCAGTCAGATGGACGCTCTTCTGGGGGGGGTAGTGGGAGGGCACAGGGATCCATTGTACTAAACCTAAACTGCTAGGGCCAACGCCCAGCTGGTGCACATTGGCATCAAGCCGTGACGTTGACAGAGCTCCATTGATTTACACCAGCTAGGGCGGGAGCTGGCTCCTGGGTTTTAGTTCGTTGCTATGTCCCGGGTGGAATCTGGTGCTGACATATCAGAAAGTAGGAATTCGAACTCCTGACCCCTTTTCCCAGCAAAGAGTCGTTCTGGAACATCGTGGGGCTGTAACGGCTGCTCTGCTACCAGTGCTCGTAGGAAATGATTTCTGTTCTCTTGTCATTCTTCTCTCTGTCTCCATTCACTCTTTTCCCATCTAATCAGAGCAACCTGCCTCCTATCCCTTCCTACCTGCTAGAGCTGCTTTCTTACTACTCTACATCCCCCCCTGTGGGAGAGACCAGGCTCGAGGTAAAGGCTCCGTGCACGCATGCCGACGGCATGGCTTAGACTGGCGCATGTGTCTCAGAGCTCTCGCTGTCAAAAATAGGAGAATCCTATGGAGGAAAGTCCCTTAAATCCAGTTGCTCTGTGTGGTTCTGCATGTCAGGTTATCAGTGGCAAATCGGCGCTCTTTGAGCTTGTGTTTGTAGGAGGCTGTTGCCAAAGGTTGAGTCCAATGCATCCAAACTCTGCCCAGCCATGCTGGGTCTGGCCGCCTGCCTGATGCCGGGGGCGAGTGATCGCGTGTTATCAATTATGGAATGACATTTTTTATGTTACAAAATTGGTTGGAATTTTTTTCCATGAGATAAGTGGAAATGCCATGTGTTGTTGAACATAAAGAGCTACTGGATTGAAAGAAGTCTGGTGGCAGCCTAGGAACACAAACTAGTGAAAGACTGAGGCAAAGCAAGCCCGAGAAGCATCCATCCCCTGCGTTAATTGCATGTCTGGGTTAATGGCCGGTCTCTCTAGTGTATGGTTTATAGGTACTCAGAAAGGCATTTGTTCAGTGCAAGCAGGAAAGCATTTGAAATGCTGACCTTTTCATTACTATGGTCTGAGGAGTTGTTAATGTGTGGATAACGTAGTTCACAGTTTCTGTCGAATATTGCTCCTTCCGTGCTGTATTTTCATTCTGTATTGCCCACCGTCTGCGTGAGCCTTAACATTCTGATAGTGAGAAATGTCATGCAAAGTCAAACTTCTGAGTGCAGCATCCCCTGGACTGGCTCTGTCTGACGCGCGGAAAGCGTGCAGTGGGCTGGGCTAAGCCGGGGGCATGCCTCTGAGCTCCCAGGACATACAGAATTGTACTAGGAGACACGGTGCAGGGAAGAGAGATCTGCACATGTGACTTGCAGAGGGAGACTAGCCGTTCCCTTGCTTCCTTGTACGTGTGTGGAGAGGTACCTTTACTCAGTTCATTGCCTTTCCAGCCTGGCAGGCCTTTGAGCAGCATTTCCTAAGGAAAAATGAGGTTGGTAGTTTCACATACGCACCCCGGGGGACGTTTTCCACATTGAGGAGAGCACTGGTCTTGCAATACAGTCTCTGCTCAGGAGAGAACGGGTGCTGCAGGGCAGGGGAAGGGTGCCCCCGCAGAGCAGTGAGGACGCAGGACTGCCCTCACCATACCTGGCACTAACTACAGGGCTGAGTTTCTCCCCTCCCTGAAAGGTGCGTTCACCCGGAATGTGTCTGTGTTCTAATCAAGTCTGCCAGCGTCGGCGGTTCTGGGACTGGCTGGGAAGTGCTGGTAACTGACATGGGTCTCGGGTCACTTGTTTTGTTTGTCTGAATTGCTGCTCAGTCTTGGCTTGTGTTGTGCTTTTGGCTGGGGGGGAAGGGGGAGGGAACGCTCCCCTTGGCTCCAGGCTGTTAGATCCCATTGCTCTGACGAGACAGGGCCATGTGTGTCCAGGAGCTACTCTCCCCCTGCGGGCTCTGCGACCCCAGAGCTGGGGCCATAGCCTGGCTGTGTGACAGGGTTCCTTTTGTTCCCACTTGCAGGGCGGTAAGGGCGAGATGGGGCTGGCCGGAGCCCCAGGGGAAACCGGGCTGGCAGGCCTTCCTGGACCAATGGGACCACGAGGACCACCAGGTCCCCCAGGCCCTGCTGGACCTCCTGGGCCAGGCTACGAGGCCGGATTTGTAAGTATCAGCCATGGCTGCTAAACAGATTGAAATCCTTACACTCTCTTCCTGCCATCGTTTTGCAGGGGGAGCACGTTGCCCGTGTGCTCTGGGGGCCCCTCTCGGGGAGTCCTGCAGGGAGCACGTTGCCCTTGTGTGCTGGGGGAGCCCACTTGGGGGGTCCTGCGGGGAGCACATTGCCCGTGCTCTCTGGAGAGGCCCCACTCGGGGCATCCCACGGGGAGCACGTTACCCACACGCTCTGGGAGGGCCCCACTTGGGGTGTCCCATCGGGAGCACATTACCCCTGTGGTCTGGTGGGCCCCACTCAGGGCATCCCACGGGGAGCACGTTACCCACACGGTCGGGGGGCTGCACTTGGGGCGTCCCGTTGGGAGCATGTTGCGCGTGTGCTCTGTGCGGGTCATGCAGGGGGCACGTTGCCTGTGTGCTCTGGGTGGCCACACTCAGGGGGTCCCGTGGGGAGCGTGTTGTCCGCCCGCTCTGGTGCCTGCATTGGACTGTCCATTGGGACCCTAATGGGATCCCAGCTCTTGCCTGTAGGACCCCCTTTCTGAGCTGACTCGTGTGTTCCCAGCCCCCTCGCTCTGACCTGCGACCCACTAGCTGAGTGGCTTTGAGCTGGCAGGCCCTGCAGCTGTGTGGTGGGGCAGAACTCCGGTGTCCCTCCCAGTGTGTGGGGAGCCTTTCCCTTCCCACTGCTCTGGAGCACATACGGGCAGGGGAAGGCCCTGCTTCTGGGGGTTCTAGCTGTGCAGTGAAGGTGCTCCCCGGGCGGCTGCTGTTTTGCTATCCGAGCTCGGAGGCCTGTGTGCCATGCCCCGGGTACCACATCCCACAGCTGGTTCGCTCTGTGAAGAAAAGGCTAAGCTCCCGGCTAGGCCCTGGGCTCCCGGCTGACACCGCTCCCATTCGCTGTTTGCCTGCTGTGGTTCTGCCTTGCAAAACAGCCTGGCTCCCGTGCCTCTGCCCTTGTTTCGGCCCCGGGTGGCAGAGTGAGCCGTGTTTGCATCTCCCCGGGTGTTTGTTACCCTAGGGAGACATGGAAGGCTCGGGGATGCCGTTCCTTTCTGCCGTTCCTGGAGAGCGTGGTCCCGAAGGGCCACAGGTAAGTCCCCCTGACCGTCGGTTAACCCTGGCTCTCCCTTCCGGAGGATTCTTCCACCCTGCCCAGGAAACCAGGCATTGCACAGGGTGCTAAGCAAGGAAATTAACACCACCCCCCCAAATCCATGGACTTCATGCCTGCAGCTCCAGCCTGTAGCTGCCAACCCCTGCCCGGACCCCCAGCAGGCCGGCTCGCCGGGCAGCGCCCGCCCGGACCCCCAGCAGGCCGGCTCGCCGGGCAGTGCCCGTCCGGGCCCCCAGCTGGCCGGCTCGCCCGCCCGGACCCCCAGGCCAGCTTGTGAGGCCGGGAGTGTGAAGCCAGCAGGGGCAGGTGCTTGCAGAGTAGGGGAGGGGGGATGCTGGTAAAAGCTGTCTCCTGCTGGTGCTGGCTGGGAGTGAGTGACAGCGCCCCAGGGGCAGCGTGTGATCCTGGGGGCTCCACTGGTGTCATTTTGCAGTGAAATTATTAACACACACCAAAGTACCCAGCGGTTCAGGGGCTTCTGAGGGGACACGTGCTCATTCGGCTCATTCGCCTGATACCGTGTTGTATTTATTCACTGTTCATACAGGGGCCACCGGGACTCCCCGGACTCAAGGTCAGGAGCCATTGGGAATCTGTTTGTACCTATCTGCCCTAGCAGGACTTGAGCTGTTCAACCCCAGCCAAGCAGTACAGTGAGACGCGTCCTCTGATGAAATGGCCAGTCCCTGGGGCTGATCCAGCCCCCGTCCCCGGGCAGAGCTCTTCTTGGGGGAGTCCCCCTCCTGTGCAGAGTGGGGAACTTTCCCTGGCCCTCTGGCGTGTGTCACAGAAGATCCTTCCCTCTTCTCTAATAGGCATTGATCAGATCACGTGGGAACGCCCCAGGAGCAGGACAGAAGTCAGCAGAGAGAAAAGCAGGAGTTAGAATATTATGCTGTTGTCTCAAAAAATCTGGGCAGTGGCCTTTCTGCGTGGTCGTTCTGGCCAGCACGTGTCCGGTCCGTTCTGAGCGCTGACCGATTCGTAGTACATATTACATAGGGTATCGCTGGGCTGTTATCCAGTCGAGCGCGGCCCCGCCGTCAGTCTGCAAGGGAGACACGTGGGGAGGAATCCTGGCCCTGCTGAAGCAAAGGGAGTTTTGCCATTAAATTCCCTGGAGCCAGGATGTCCCCCCAGGACTTTTCCGTGATATTCGCTATTCCTTTGCCTCAGAGCAGAGTTGTTTATGCTGAGGCGGTGCCTCTCCCAGCGAGGAGCTGTTTTTACGCAGGGACAAAGCCCACCCCATCCCCAGGAGTGCTCTGAAAGCCTGGGCGGTTTCCAGAGGCACAAAGGGCAGGTAGGGACCTGTCTCCTGATGAGTCATTGGGAATTAGCCATCTGACTGCCCTTTGTGCCTTGAGAAATCTTTGCCTTGGAAGGAAGGACAGTGTTGGTGAGCCATGGCATGGACACATGCAGCTTGTTGCTGTCAGCCCCTTGGCCCCCCTCACATGCTTGATCCATGGGGTGGTCCATGCAACCTCTGAAATGTGCATTTCCAGCACACATTTTCCATGCTGCATGCAGGAGAGCTCCTCCTCCGTACTGATTTACTGTTCTTTACCTTCCAGGGGGACGCTGGCAGCCCTGGGCTGCCTGGCTTGCCAGGACAAAAGGTAGGATCACTTCATACAGCTTCACAAAATCTTCAACCCCTTCTTAGGAATTCCAGTGAAGGGATGATGGCTCCACTGAAGGGATGATGCCCTGCCCAGTCCATGAGTAGACCGGGAGCCAATGCAAGCATCGGGCAGTACCGTGTTTTAGTGTCCAGACAGTGGGGGTGGGTTTTTTTGTGGATTCCGAATGTCAAGACCCTGAGTTCAAAGAATCTGCCTGCTGACACCTTGTCACTGTTGAGCATTTTGAAATGTGAGCCCTTGATACCATGCCCCTCCTGACTGACAAGCCAGGTGACACATGAAACCACCTTTGTTGGATTTCAGTTATTTGTAATGAAAACATCAGAGTAGTATCTTGTTATGGAACATGGTTCGCTCCAAGGTACATACGTGATGTCTGCATTAGCAGTATACCTTGCTAGTACCTCCCTCCCCCTCACCCACCCCGAACTGAGACGTGATGATGTACATAAGAGTAGAGAGAGGAGATGGGCCGCTGCATCTAGAAACTGTGACACTGATGCTGCCTTACTTCCTGGCAGCTGGGCATGCCCGCTCTGCACGGAGGTGGTCGCGCTGCGGAGCGCTGCTGGTTCTGCTGTTCGGGAGCACCGGTGCTAGCGGCTCTGTAC